TTGTAATGATAAATGTCAGGGCCAGATCCTATTAGACTAAGGTGACCAGACGTCCCGCTTTTGGCGGGACAGTCCCAATTTTTAACAATTTGTCCCGCATCCCGCGTCGTTTTAAAAAAAAAAAAAAGTCCCGATTTTTGGAAAGATTCTTGGGCTCCATTTCACACCAACAGGAACACCCCCTCACGGAGCCTAATAGCGGTTAAAAACGATGGCGATCCCAGCGAAAACCATTCGGGCTGGGCATCCACGAGAGGAAAGGATGTCTCTCGGGATCCCAGGCCTAATCAGAACATCTGTACCGTGACCTGAGGGCACTGTTTGGGCAACTTAATTTACTACCATCGGCACGTGCTCTTAGGATACGCCAGAGGCACCAGAGGAGCTGCAGGTGGAGACGCGGATCCCCAGCTGTTTCCTGGCGGCGCCCCCTGGCGTGGTGGCCTGGGGCTGCAGGCAGTTCCCACCTCCCTGGAGAGCTTATCTAGGGCCAAGGGAGACAAGGTCAATGCTTATGCAGCAGGAGTAGAGCCATCGATGTCGAACGTGAGTGGGCCTGGCTGTCCTAGTAAATACAACAGGACTTTCGGAGCCAGAAATGAGCTGGGTGCCCCGCCAGTCAGACACATGAAGAAGGTGGGGCAGAAGCAAGTTCTTCCACATGCCCTGGACTCAGAGGGAAATCTGAGGGGAAAGAAGGGTGTTTGTTTGAGCAGGTGACGGCAGCCCAGACACACGGACAGCAGATCTGCCTGCGCCACACGGCTGCCCAGCTCAGAGTGTAAGCTGAGGCACCACCTGTCTCCCCACCACCCAATGGGGAAGGGCGTGAGGCCCAGGGGCGGGGCGGGAAGTTCCTTACTCCGGAAACCAGAGGCATCTTAAAGCTCAGGCTCCAGGGAGGAGGAGCTGCTGGAGGAGAGGAGAAATCTGGGAGGCTGGACGTGGAAAGGCCCAGAGCAGATGGCCTGGCTCCAGCACAGACAGGATTCCAGGGAGATGAGAGCGGCAGGGAGGAAGCCCGGGAGCCTGCTCCATTGCCCGGAACAGAGTGCCCGCACCGGCATACAGGGGCCCCCCGGGTGATATTTTCAACAATAAAGGTTTTTAAAAAGCAAAATGAAACCAACCCCTCACACTCATTCCTGGCAGATGGCAGCTCTCACGTGTCGCCCTCCCTCCCTGACCGCAAGTCGATGCACAGGCCGGACGGGGTTCTGCGTGCCGGCCCTGAGGTGGTCCTTCAGGCCTCCCGGGCACGCTGTCTACACCTCATTTCTTTGGCAGGACTGGGTCATGTCCGTTGGTCTGCCTTCAAGTTCATCTACTCTCCTCCTGCCATTTCCAATCCGCTATTGATCCCATTTAGTCAATTTGTCATCTCAGTTTATTATAGTTGTCAGTTCCAGAATTCCCACTTTTAAGTTCCCTTTTCTCTGTTATTCATTAAGACCATTTTTCCTTTCATTCTTTGAGCCTAGTTTAATTGGTTGAGTGCATTGATAGCTGTCTTAAAGTCGTTGGCTACTAACTCCAACACCTAAGCCCACTAGAGTCAGCCCCGATTGGCCACCTTTGCCACCCTCCCCACCTCCCCTCCCCCACACTCCTCCCAGGACCACCTTTTCTGTTCTTTGTCTTATTGGCTTGAGCTGTCGAAGGGCAGAGAACAGTCATGTCAGTGATTCCTATTGGGCTCTCCTCATGGTTGGAGGCTTTTGTTCCGGTGGGAGGTTCACGAGCCTGGACTCGCACTGCAAACTCGGCAGCCTGTGACCCAGCATTCGACCGAGCTCAATGCCATGGCTTCTTGGCAGGGCCTAGTGCGGCCTGGCACTCTGTGGTCACCGCTGGGACTTGGAGGAGGTGACATCCAGTTCCGGGACATGTGCTCCCCGTGGCTCTCCTGCTTCTGGGGAGTCTCCCCCCAACTTCCAGCCGGCCCGCCAGTGGGAGGCCATGCTCTCATGTCCCCCCGGGGACGGCTCTCTGCCACCCACACTGTGCCTGGGCTGCGAAATGCAGTCAGTTAATAAGTGAAAGAGAATTTGTATGTTGTTTTTTTAACACAAGTTTAGTTAGATAAAATTGGAAATTAACACACTTTGGTTCTAATAACATAATACCTACATGATAATATTTCATTTCTACATTTAAAATCACATGAAATTAGCTTTCAGACTATAAAGTAGTTCTAAAGTGAATGTCTCATTTCATTCAGAAGATTAACTAGCTCACCTGTGATAATAATAAAAGCATAATATGCAAATCAACCGAATGACTGAACAGCAGAACGGCCATCTGGACGACCTTCCGGGCAACCACGCTATGACACACACCGGCGCCAGGCCAGCCAAGGCGGTGCAGTGAGATCACCCCACTATCGCCCGAAGAGGAAGGCCCAGGTCACCCTCTGTGGGGCAATTGATGAGGGGGCTCCACAATTAATCACCCCAAAGGGAAAGGCCCAGGCCACAGGCCAACGAGGGCTATCAATCAAGGGTGGGCGTGGAGAGAGTCCACAATCGCCTCAAAGAGGGAGGCCCAGGTCACCCTCTGCTCAGCAATTCCATAGTGAAGTCCCGGCAGGTGGGCGGGGCTCTGGTCACCCCAAAGAGGGAGGCCCAGGCTGCCCGGCTGGCGATGCTATGGCGGGCGGGTGTGTGGGACCAGCCAGCATTCACCGCAGAGAGAGGCCCAGGCCAATCAAGCAATCGCACCCCACACCTGTCACCTGCAGAGGGAGGCAACCCGTGGCAGGTGGAGGGGGGGCAGCGCTGCACAGATGGCAAGCTATAGCCGTGGCGAGGGCGGGGCCAGTGCCGGCATCTGGGGGAGGGAAAGCCCCTATAGGCCCTGATCGCTGGCCAGGGGTCCCGTTTATGGCTGGGCTGAGGGACAAACACACCCCCTCCCTGCCACATGGACAAATTTCATGCACTGGGCCTCTAGATATAAATGGGTCCTTCAGAATTTCCTAGTTAAATTTTTCTCTCTATTCCACTGAGCTATTGGAGAGATAATTGAAAAGGGTTAGTGTCATGCTGTGGGAGGCTGGGATCTCAGGCAAAGCATCGCTGATGTTCTCTTTGCCTCCCCAGCTCAGCTTTCCAGATGGATTGAAAGATGGCGGCTGGAGGAGACGAGACAATAATCCCTTCGCTAACAAGGGCTCTCTATCATTATGTCATCACTCTTACTAGTTGTACAGATGCACTTTAAGAAAATAAGATACACCAACTTACTACTTCTTTCTTACTTTTTTCTCAAGCTTAATTAGATATCTGTCTTAACTGACATGTTAAACCCTGAGGACACTGTTGGGTAAGTTTCACACTTAGCGTTTAGAACAATGTACTCTCCTACCTCCCCCTGAAGCAGAGTTCACAGAGCGCTCTGCACGGTGCCTGCCTCATAGGCGCCGGTGCTCTCGCCCCGAGACCCAGGCCGCGGAGTGCTGGCGAGGAGCGGGCTCCGTGGAAGCGGCTTCGTCATACACACGCTAACCCCTGACACCGGGATTCAAGCCTCGCCGGGGCCACTTCCTGCCTAGAACAGGTCTGCTGAGCAGCTGTCTTTATTTCTCAAGTAGTAACCTACCTTAAAAA